CGTTGCCCTCCCTAAGCCCGCTCCGAGGTGAGCTCAAGCGATGCGCGCCAGTGGGGGGCCTGCGACCTGGCCCCTGGATGACTGACATGCTGTTTCCCCGCCTCGGCCAACGTCTCCAGGCAATTTTGCACCTCGCGCGCCGCGAGCTGACGTAACCCCGCGGTTATCACGTCGCAGCGCGCGCATGCCGACGCCCGGCTGCTGGCCCAGAGCACCCTCTGGCTCGACGCGACCAGGGCCGCGCGCGCCCCCGGGCTTGGCGGGCGCGGCGGCCCCCAGGACTGGTCGCAGCAGTTCTCGCCGAGCCGCTCCCAAAGAGGCCTCGTGGACATGGCGGGCCAGATGAAAGGCTTCGCGGATCGAGAGGCCGCGCTGGGCGCCACGAGCAACCTGGAGGCCGCAATCGCACGGGCCCAACGGCAACTGCGCCAGCAGCAGGCCGAGCAGCCGCAGCAGCAACGGCCGGCTACGTCGCGGACCTCGGCCCCGCCCCCGACGAGCCCGAGCCCGCCGGCTAGGGGGGCGGCACTGGCTCCGACCACTGCCCCAGAGAAACGCGAGCGGGGCCAGCAAGGCGAGAACTCCGCAGGGGGCAGCCGCCAGCGCGCCGCCGTGGACCGCATTATTTCCACAGTCGGCACCAAAAGCCCCGCCGGCGACTCCTGCGAGGCGGCGCTCGAGGCGGGCATCGCCTTCGAGCGTCTGCGGGCGGGGGCGGGCGCGCCATCGAAAACGGTGGGCCCCCAGGGCCGCCAGCTCGGGGAGCTCCAGCGGACGTCCGAGACCACCGCCGAGGACTGCGCGGCGATCCGCGCCCTCCTGGAGGGGCACATTTCACCGACAAGTCCCGCCTCGCCCCGCGAGAACGGCCACGGCCGTGGAGTCATGCGCGAGCCACTAGGCGACGGCCTCGCCGAAGCCAACGCCGACCCGCTAGCCGGCATTCTCGTGCATAAGCAGATGCACCTCTACCTGCTGAGCTGCCTCGGAGTTGCCCCCGCCCACTCCAATATGATTGAGCTAACCGCCCCTTGGGGGGCGGCCGGAAGATCGCGCGCGGCGAGCGGTGTCAATTCGCGCACGGGCATCAACCAGCGGCGTAGCAAGCTGAACTTGCCGGGGGCTCCCTCAGAGGCCACCAAGAATGCCCGGCACGCGGGCGTCGGGGAGATGATATTCGCACGTCTTGCGCGCAGTGGCAACTGGGGGCACCGATCCGCTCCAGTCGATCAAATTGGCCAGAGCTACGACTACCTTCGCCGACAGCACTAAAGCTACGACCCAGGGGTTTGCGGGTCTGCCTCCAACGCCACCCACTTCACCGCGTGGGAAAAGTAGAGGCACTTGAGTTTGCCAGCGTTTGTTCCTGTGCTCGTATCCTACATCATGGTTAGTCCATGTATATGGTGCTGCGGACAGCCTGCCAAGCTGGCCGTTTTGTGGAAAGAACTCGCGAGGTCATGGGGTTCGCATTTGTGCGCGCTGTCAGCGCCGTGACCTCGTCAGTCCCGATTGCGGCCAGGGGGCGGCCAGTCTCTCGCTTTGCGTGGCAACGACCAGAGCCCCATTGGATAGCAGGCCGCGCAGAAATTGCGGCAAAAGCAAGGATTACATATTCCTCAGCAGCCACGCCCGACCCCGTATTCACGTCCATGAATACGGGCACAGCTTGGCTCACGCAGCGCGCCGCGGGTTCGGCGCAGGCAGCAATGGCATATTTCCCTCCTCTTCGAACCCGCCGTCCTGGGAGCGCGCGGGATCAAGGCTCTCTTATTATGCTCGCCAGTTTGGCTCCGTTGATGCGCGATGGAGGTCGCGGCTCGGTCTAATCAAAGTCCGACGGGGAATGCGCTGCACAATCTGGGGCCCCATCGCGCCCGCGCCGACCAACGCGCCGTCCTGCCCTGAAAATCCCTCCGCGAGGCCTTCGATCGTTCGTCGGGGAATCAAGTCGCTTCTCGGTCGCGAGGTTTTTTTTTGCGGCCTGCTTTTGCGAGGGCGGCCCTTGGGCCACCGCCCTCGGACCCAGGGGCCTCGCGCGGCTTGCCCGCTACATGCAGGTTTCAGCTCCTCTTGGCCCCCGACGCTCTCCTTGCAATCGTCCGGGGCCGGCTCGCGCGTGCGCGTGCGTTTTCTCTGGCGTTGCGCGCAGTTCAGGACGTGGGCGCACGTGCGTGTTCGCTTGATTGCCGCGCCACCCTTACCTGCCCTGTCCTTCTTCCTTGTTTCTGTTTGTGCACATGCGTTTGTCTGCGTCCCGCCAAAGGTTTCGCGCGTGCCCCGATGCTCTCGGGGCGCCGTCCGCGGGCGCGCGCCGCGCTGAAGCGCGGGCAGGTTAGTGGCCGCGCGCTTGACGCGTTTTTCTCCGTCGCGAAAGTATGCCCCATCGTGATTGGACGTCAGTGGCGTCGAAGATCATGGGGCGCGGGCTGGCCGATCGCCGAGGGCCGCTCACCCTCGGGAGCCCTGCGAGTCCCTGGCTGGGAACCCACTGCCGAGC